GGATCCGAACCCTCGGGCGGGAGCGCCGCCGCGCTTCCCAAGCGGTGCACTTATCCAGTGCGCCACCGGGCCAGCCCCCATAAAGCACTTTTAAAATTAGAACTATCATCATCATCAAAGTGCTTTCTTAAAAAAACCTCATTTGATTCTAACAATAATGCCTTTTTTAGCCAGGAAAGGTATTCCTGTTCCCATTTTACAAATGAGAAAACAGACTGAGGGCGGAGTTGCACGGCCTGCAAGTCTCATGTTTGAACATGCTGCACCCTCTAGCACAGATGCCCTCAGATTGCTCTTCACCTTTGGTGAAAGTTCTCCTCATCCTTTAAGACTGAAGAAAAGTGTCACCTCCTTAGGCACGTCTTCTCTGATAAATCCCAGTCTCCCCAGTTGCACCTCTGTCCCTTGTCTAGGCCTGCCCTTGCCACCCCACACTGTAAGTGTCTCTAACCTTGTCCCTCTTACTGGTGCTGCACTCACCTTTTGTCATTTGTGTTGTGGTGGCCTTAACCACCCAGTAAATGCTTGTTGGATGGATGATTGGATTAATACTTTATTCAAAGTTCTCATCACTAGGTTTTGACTCATTCAGAAGTTCTTTAAAAATGTATTTGAGAAACAAAATGTTCTGAGATTAAGCAATAAATTTTGAAAATTCAATTCTGTTATTTCTGATAATGTCTAATAACTTTTCTTTCATTTTTTACATTTCTATCTCTTATTATGCTCTGTTTTCACTGATGGTGTGCCTACCAAGATTCAAGTATATCTGCACTCTGTGTGCACATGTGTGTGTGTGGTGTGTGTGTGTGTGTGTGTGTGTGTGTATGGAGAGATTATTGAGTAGTGATATGATTGAATAATAGAGAGCCAGTGGGAGAAAGAGAAGTATTGTTTTAGAAATGAAAGGAAACTTCGACTAATCTAATCCAAACTCCATCTCCCCCTCCACCCCTCCTTTACTCCCTGTTCTCTGTTTGTCAGATATAAGGAACCTTAGTTGCAGAAGAATAAATAAGTATCTGAGTTAGAACTAGATCCCATATCTCATGAATCTAATGCAGGGGTTTTCAGCCTTGGCTCTATTGACATTATGACTGGATAATTCTTTGTGGCAGAGAGGTGGGTCCTTTGTCTTGCAGGGTGTTTCTTAGCAACCCTGCTCTCTACCCACTAGATGTCAGTGGCGCTCTCTAGTTGTGACAATCAAAAATGTCTCCAGACATTGCCAAATTGCTCCTGGTTGAGAACCACTAACCTAATGTATTTTAATTGCTACAACACATTGCCACCCATAGTACAGAGTCTTAATAGTTAGTACTTGAGTTACCAAGACAAAATTAATATTGATAGCAAGCTGGATACAAATATAAAACCAATTCTAGAGTTTAAAAAAATCAGCTTAGCAATTTTTATTGTTGACGTTAGCACCATTTGCACCTAATACTGATGAGTGTTACTTATGATTGAGGCATTCCTACTTTCCTCAGTCGTTGCACTGATGACCACCCTTCCTTTTACAACTCTGCTCTCTTGAGCTTTCTTTTTTCTCCAAGTGCTTTCCCTCTCTCTTTGGCCCTTTCTGTCTGCTCCCTATCACCTATTTCTCAAAGTTCTGTTATTTTACATTTTACATTCCATACTATTTCCCTTGGAACATTTGAATGGTTTCCATGCCTTTAAATGTAATATCTCCTTGTATGACTTTCAAATAGACTTTGTTGACTCCATTCTTATTCCTTTGCTCAAGATATGTATCGTCAACTGCCACATATAAATAGGTATTTGAACTTCAAATTCAAATTCATTCACTCATTATGTCCTTCCTTCATGCCTTCATACCCAAATGCCACCACAAACCTGCTGTCCTATGTTTTCTACTCTGTAATGACATCATCCTCCGTGGTATTTCTTGGCCAGAAACTTAGCATCAGCTATGAATTTTCTATTTTCCTCATCTCTCCCAGGTGTCCGGCCCCGTTAAGTCTATTTAGAGCAGGAACCATGTCTTTCGCACCAGTTTTTTTCAGTATCTTGTTAATATCTTGCACATAGAAAACTCTCAATATATATTTATTGAATATCATTGGATCCATGTAGTTACTAAAAGCAAGTATAGGGTAAGCTGCCTCCTCCTTGTTTTCTGTTTATCAGGTTGTGACTAAGCCCTTCCCACCCTACTATCAAACTATGGATGTACATGTGCCTCTCACTGAAGTCAAGGTCTCCAATGTTAACCAAAACTATATTTTCATAAAGTAAAATTCCTTAGCAGCTTCCAGTATGTGAGTTGCATTATTTAGGTTCTCTGAATGAAAAGTAATTAGCTTTGGGGCTTTTAAAATTATCTTTTACGTACTTGCTTTTTGTGTGTGTGTGTGCTTACTGATTAAAACTTTATCCTCCTGCAAACTTAAGATTGGTGGTAAGCATATACAGAGAAAGTAAAACGGTCAATATGTTTCTAAAAATGCCATTAAATATTACAAGCTTCAGGCCACAATATGACCATAACAAAAAGAAAGCAAATGGCAAACACTTACAATCTAAATAGTTTCTCCCTTAGGAGATTTTTCCTTTGAAACAATAATGTAATAGTAATGTAAATTTCTGAATTGGATCTATAGGAGTAGAAGTAAGAAGCAAGATGGAAGGGAGTGAAGGTTATAAAAAGCCCCTCCCATGGAAGTTTATCATGAGAAAAAAAATTTTCTTATAGAAAATTTGAAATAATGCTCTAGAGAGCATTATCTTTGGCTTCTAGGGGAGGCAAACCTCACCTTTAGTGCCCTTAGTCACAAAATTCCAAAACACCCAGCTTAACATAAACTACCGTTTATGCAAGAGTTTGTATGCATTCACCTGCATTATGAACAAGATACATGTTTTAATCCATTTTTAGGATAAATAGATGATCCCCTTATTTTTTGACTCACTGATTCTTTATTTGAATGGCCTTAATTATAGTATTGTATGATGACTAAAATATATGAGCACTTTGAAATATGATTTACAAATTACTCCAAAATTGGAAAGTATAATATAGTGCCTATGAATTGAAAAACATGGCATATTAAATTTTTCTTGCGACTTGACAAGGAAGATCTTATGGCTGTCTCTTAAAACTCAAAATTAAAAGAAATACTTATTTGTAACCCATTATTATATCAACCTCTGATTTCATGCTGTTTTATATAAAACAGTTATAATTTTTCATTTAGCTTTTAATAAAGCTTAGTTATAAGGTTAACACTAAAAATTGTAGGAATAGAATGATTGCTGGTAGAAGGCAAGTTTAGTTTTCTATGCATTTATAAATATATACATTGATTCTCTGAAAAGTAGGGTGTAACTAGAAAGTGCTGACAGATCTTTTCAGTATCAGATGTGATAAAAGGCTTAGTTATTTTAACCAAGGTGAAGAAAGACCTTATCTAACAGTGAAATTTAATTTAAAACAAAAGACAACCAAAATGAAGGCATATTCATTCCTTGAAAGTGCACAAGATCTAACAAGCCTACGATGTGACAGACACATCCTAGAATTACAGACTGCCCTGGGAGAAGGTAGAAACTAACAGTCCGTGTGCAGGCTGGCATGTGACCAAAGCAGAAGTGTGAACAAAGCGGATTTTGCTACCTGTTTGGGCTGGGCAAATACTATGATTCATCGGGAATTTGCTGTTCTGGTCCAAAAGGTTAAATTGGGAAAACAAGGTGCATTTCTTTCATTCTGTAACTATCTCATTTTGCTTTGGATCATTTTTATTTGCTTGATTGTTTTCCGGAGAAGCCATTTTATCCCAGAGATTTGCAACCGATTTTACTGACTTGGCTCGGTCAGACAGTCACCAAATCCCAGCCTCATCTGCATGGGACTCCTTTTAGATGAGTCCTTCAGCGTGACCATTAAAAAGCAAGGTTAAAAGAAACCATGTACAATAAGAAGGACATTTTCGATATCTGGCATTTGCCCAACTATGGGGCAACCACTTCTCAGTGCTCCAAGGCCCACAACATTTAGTTCTATCACCATTCCAGTGACAGTACTCAACCTCTCCCACACATGGTCCCTAATAATGTATAAGGGTGTAGGCTGTGCCCTGACTCACAGGGAAGAGGCGATTTGTATCCTGTGAGTCACTGAGTCACTGGCACCACTTCCTGCTGGCACATTTGAGATTTCACTGGAACACAACTTCTGAAAGGTGAAGGTAGAGAGATGAGTAGATAAGCATCACATTCCTAAAACCCATGGAAAATTTGACAGAAATAATGGCTTCTGAAAGGATTTTGATTTTGCAGCTGTATTGAAATCGAAGTTTCAACTGCCAATTTTGAGTCTGCAGACCATCTATCCCATATCACCTTGCACAGAATTTCTGTGAATCTCAGTTACAAATGTAGAGCTTGCCACCAGATCTGTGGTGGTTTGTTTGTTTGTTTTTTGACAATGAATCTATCCAAAATCTTTAGCATCAAGTGAATTATTTTCTAAGCAGGAATCCACTATCAAAGATCAAAAACTCAAACATATTTTCACTTGAATCATAGAGAGATTGTTATGTTTAAATGACTCTAAAATAATGGAAAAAAACCCTGAAAGGTTGGAGAAATATACGAATATGACTTTAGCATTTATTTCTCCCCTGTATGACTTTACAATAATGAATAGAGATTCTTAAAGGTGGTGGGTGGCATAATACTCTGTGGGTGGACTTTTCAATCTTCTGGTCACCCTGACTCACTCATTTTCCCTAGTTTGCAAGGGCTTAGGGCAGAGGCAGCGTGAAGGGACACTTGAAAATCACTGCTTTAAAGCAATACAGCTTTGTAGATGGACAAATGATTTAGAACCAAGTTTGCTGTTTTATTGGCTACTTACATCTATGGTGGAACTGCAATTACACACTTTAATTTGAGAGGAGCATTTAAAATTATTTACAATTTCATCTGCTGCTGAGTTAATGCAGCAAGTCTCACAGAAACTACCCTGAGCGATGGACTGTGTCCAAGGGAGAGTCACAGGTAAGGAAAGCCCAGTTTTCATGGAGGCACGCCCTGGGCTGAACATTCTTTAATTAACAAAGACAAATATTTCACCTGTGGCCTGAACAACTGGAACAAAGTTTCCAACAGTGGAAAAACCAACAATTACTAAAAACCCTTTATAAAAAAAAAGATCAACAAGCAACACCCCAAAACAATTAGCTGGATTCTATAATAGTTGCAAGTTACGGTTATAAGCAATTCCAAACAGGAAAGCTTAGACTCCGGTTTCTGAAAAAGATAGAGAAACTAGCTTCAAAAGTGCATTTTTTCCTGGCTGGCACTTTCCTAGAAGGAGAACTAATAATGTCTCCTCCAAAACTTTCCTTGGTTGAAGAAGTGTGGAGGCATAGGATTGTCAAGGATATAAAAACATGCAACTAGAATTCCAGTTTATATTGAGGAGATTGTATAAGTTAAAGGGTTTAATTCTTTAGCAGTAAAAATCCATGGCAAAATTATACTTAGAAGCAGAGCAAAATTGACTTGGATGAGAATCTAGATCATCCTTCCTAAAAAGCTATGTGGAAAATAGTTTTTGTCTGTTCAACTAACAATGAAATCCAGACTTGAGCAATTTTCTTTTGTCATTTGAGAAAGTTTTTTTTTTTTTTTTTGGTCTATAACAGTAATTGAAGCAGAACTTATATGAAAAATATACCTTTCAAAAAACCAGTATTTTCAAATCATTGAAAAAGTAAGAGAATTGAGGTCAAAAGATAGATTCCTAACTCTTGTCTTCTGTGGTCACTAAATAAGTGATCTTGGACAAGACATTTAATTTAAAGGCACTCAGGTTGTTTGGGGCTAGTAACTACTTCACAAGATTGTTTTAAGTATCAAGTTTGAAACTTGAAAATATAAACTATGATGCTGATGTGTAATTTAGCTTTTAAAACCCAAAGAATATTCAATTTTCTTAACAGATACAAGTCTCCTCTAATTAAGAAAAATAAAATAAAATTTCTGTAAGTTACACGGATTAAATTATCCTTTAAAATACCAAATTATGGGCCGGCCTGGTGGCGCACTGCTACAGTGCACCACTTGGGAAGTGCGGCGGCGCTCCCGCCGAGGGTTCGGATCCCACATACAGACCGGCTGCTCACTGGCTGAGCGAGGTGCGGGAGCAACACTGAGGGTTGCGATCCCATTGCCGGTCACGAAAAAAGACAAAAAGGGAAAAAAAAAAAACCAAATTATGAAGTGATTTATAATCTTTTTGTGAACCAGTAGAGGGCACCACCCACATACACTGCTAATGCCAAAGACTGGAAGTTGAGAACCAAGGAACATTTATGTAAAGCATGTTAAAAAAAAATATATATATATATATATATATATCATTTCATTTTATTCTCCCCAAAACTCTGTAATGTAGGGAGAATTAAGACCCAGAGAAGTTAATTAATTTGTCCAAAATCTCACAGATCAAGTGTTCTCACAGGGTTGCCTTTCCACCATACTTGATGGTCTACCTATGAGGTTACTCTACTCTGCTCCAATTACAGTTAGCCTGGCTTGTTCTAAGTGATATCTATTATATCACAGTGTTATAGCCCATTTACAAATTCTGTCATGTGGCCCATTTAACAACGTATATCCTTGGGAAAAGTTATTTAAACTCTTTATGTCTCAGTTTTCTCATATGTTTAATGGCGATGATAACAGAATCTTCCTCAAAGAGTTACTGAGAGGATTAAATGAGATAACATAGATGGGGTGAATAGGGCCATGGCTGGCACGTAGTACATGCTCAGGAAATGTTAACTGCTGCTGACACCTGCTACTACTGCCACCATTCATAACTGTTACTCATCCAGATGGGAAAGAGTGGTCAAAATGGAAACACCTGAAGCTTAAACAGAAGCAGCTGAATGCTCTTAAGTAAACAAGTGTGCCATTAAAAGGGTTCCTCTTATCATGTTTTCTCTACAATTCAGAAACTACTTGAATCATTCTGATGCCTGTTTCCCAACGTTTATCTATCTTTTCACGGAAGACACATGATGGAATAGCTGGCTCAAACTCTTATGTGCTGATAGAAACTGGATTCTGGTGCTCGGTGTGGTTCATCTGGCTTGCCTGCGCCTTCCCGTATTAGATAAGATATATTCTGATTTTAGCTAGAGTACACTGTATTAATTAAAATCTATTTTCATGTGTAATACAATGTAAAAAGTAACCAAGGCACTTAATTTAACAATGAATGTATCTTACGTTGAGTCTTCTGTTTAGTTTTTACCATAAGCGGAATGCAATTTTTATTTGAAGTCTTTTGTGATGGGGTCTACCTTGGAGTTCCTCTCTGAACACATCATGGAGTAAAACAGTGGGAGTTCTCCAATTGCTAACCTTCTTAGGAAATCAAACTTCAAAATCCATTCTTTGAAAATGATATTGTGGAACATTTAGAGCAGGTTAGATCTGTAACTATGAATATAATGGCAAGGCTTTTTAGCCCAGGACAGAAGGACTGGGGGTTCATTTATTTTCAGTTATCTGGCTGTTTCTATGAATGATTTTCTTTTATGGTTTTGATGGATCAAATTCTTGAAACAATTTAAAACAATTCTGTAAATACTGCAGCTATATAGAAATCTGAACAAGGTTTCTTTCCTTGAAACATTAATTATCTGTTTATTTTACCTCCATAAATAGGTTTTCATCTTCTACAAGGAGCTCTTAGTACAACTGTGATTCCATCATGTATCCCAGGAGAATCTGACGATAATTGCACAGCTTTAGGTAAACCCGATTTTGTCAGTGTTGTACCATCACATTTTAAAACAAATGTAAACTCAAAGACTGTAAATATGTGACAATTAAAAAAGGAGGAGATAGTAGTTACTGTATTTTTTGTTAACCTTATGAACTAGAGTTCTTCAAAAATTTATGTAAAGGAATAACTGGTGGGAGAGTGATCAGAAATCTAATTATATATAAAGATTTGATCTCAAAGAGATAGGAAACAAAGAAAATCAAATTCCCTTTGGCCATTCCCTAGAGCTTTGCTGTAAAGCCATCATTAGAGGCCACATTGATGGACTGTCCCAGGCAAACCAGGAAAATGTAACTTTGTACACAGTCGATTCTCTCTCGCCACACACACACACAGACTCATACACTTGTATATATGTTTGTAAGAGGAACGAATAATGTCTTTCCTTTCCAGTCACAGAGTTCGTTCAAAAAACATTTATGAGGTACTTCATACGCCAAACATCGTGCTAAGGCATAGAAATACAAAGATAAGTAATGCACAGTCGTTTCCTCTCAAGGGCTGCAGACTCTGGATGTGGTCCAAGGGAGATCTGCTTTATATCCAGTATGACCTCTTGAGTTAAGGGTTATCTTGAGGAAACGGGATATTTTCCACAACAACTTTACTTTCTCTCTTGTCTTTCACCACAGCTCTCTGGAGGTTTAGTCAACCTCCCCCCACCACCCTTTTTGGTTGTTTGGAGAAATGAATAATACAAGAGTACTTCAAAAAGTTCATGAAAAAGTAGAATGAAAAGATAATATGAATCTTTCCATGAACTTTTTGAAGTACCCTCGAAACTACTGTGGAGGGTAATGATGTGTATGTATTAAACTTACCTTTTCTATCCTTAAAGACTTCCTTTTGAGAATTAAATCCTCAAATGTTATTTTGTTTAGTCTGTTGGACATTTTCTTTTGGGTTCAGGTGTTTATTAGTCTAGGGAGTGTGATAACTAGAGTGACTTTCTACTCCTGAAAATTCTCCTTGACTGATTGGCATCTGACTTGTTTCATTGAAGAAACTCACTGGTTACTGCTATGAAAGAGTAATCAATACTTCCAAGAAAATAGTGGAATAAACTTTTCATTTCCTTTGCAGTTCAGACAGAAGACAATCCACGTGTGGCTCAAGTGTCAATTACAAAGTGCAGCTCTGACATGAATGGCTACTGTTTGCACGGACAGTGCATCTACCTGGTGGACATGAATGAAAATTACTGCAGGTAATACACCAAAAATAAACAAAAACAAAAGCAATGTTTATACCTATATTTCTGCCCCTTTGTATGTTTTGAAGTAATACTATATTTCCATGGGTTGTTAGAATGCAGTTTATCCGTACTATCAGAAACTTTATCGACTGAGTTTTTTACAAATAGCTTTCAAATTCTGTGGCTACTCCGGAGGAGCAGAGCAGGGAGGGCTTCACATGCCTCGCTCTCACACTGGCCAAGATAGCAGCTCCTCTTTTAATATTTTCATTGGACTTCTATACCAGCTATTACTTTAACAGCTGATTCTACTGATTTTGACAAAAAGCATCTCGAACCTACAAAACTTACAAAACACCATTCTAGGTCAGCCACTCTGACAGATGAACCAAACTGTCATTTTAATACCACGACTTAGCCTGAGAACTTTGTGGAGCCCTTTTATCAATGTTGGCCTAACTCTAAGGTCCAGCTTTGAACTCATCTTTACAACTTTTAATAAATCTTGTCGATTTCTTGCATTACAGAGTGAAATTCGTTCTTACAAGACTAATTTACAGCTATGATTTCTTTTTTAAATAGTTGATCTTTCTCTTGTATTTTCCTTTAGGTGTGAAGTGGGTTACACTGGTGTCCGATGTGAACACTTCTTTTTAACTGTCTACCAACCCTTGAGCACAGAATATGTGGCTTTGACTGTGATTCTTATTATGTTGTTTCTTGTGATAGTCGCTGGTTCCATATACTATTTCTGCAGATGGTAAGTCAGTGTTTTTTTTAATTATCTGCTTTTATAAATTACTTTTATACAATAGCGACCTAAAAACTGAGTAAAAATATGGGTAGAGTATTAGAGGGATAAGATAGAATCTGCACTGATGACAAGTACAAAGATGTTTTAGCCTGCAGGGCATCTGGGCTTCTCTCTATTATTAGCTCTGTTATGTATTCCCTACGTGACCTTATGCGAGTCAAACTGGGAGTATCAGTTTCTTTATAAAATATGGACAGAAATCCTTATTCTACATTAATTATGGGCTGTTTTAGTATTGAATAAGATAAAACATGTGAAAATAAACCATAAGGCATGATGCCGCTGTTATACTGAGCCAACTATATTTACCTTATTAGGTCAAATTTTGTATTTCACAAAACACCTTTGTAAGGTAATAACTCCAGAGGCTTGGGATTTTAAAATTTAAAGAAGACTAGTAGAAATGAGTTTCCACACAATTATAAAAGCTGTTAAAAAATGGATCACATCAGTCCCCCCAAATAGTCATGCCCCATCCTCATGTACAATACTGTCATGAGTTAATAACAGAAAAAATAGAGTGGACACTGAAACCATATACTGGCAGTTTTTTAAGGGCTAGGACCAGAGTATGGGAACAGTGTGAATTAGTTAATGATGGTTGCCTTTAAAATGTCTCCATGAAATCCTTATTTTGAAAACAGTAAAATTGTCCAACATAGATTTGAAATTAGTGCACGTCTACTTTTGAAGGTCTGAAAGTGTGCTACTTTTATACAACTAAATTTATTTTGTCCATGTTTGAGTCTAAATATCTATCAACTAGTGATGCCTTCCTAGGTATAATCATGAAACTGAATATTACTGAAACTGAAATACACCAGAAAGGTCTTTGACTATAATCCTTTACTTTACAGATGGGAAGACTGAGGTGTAGAGAGGTAAACTGACATGCCCCAGCTCATATAGTTGACAAGTGGCAGATCTGAGTTAAGAACAAAGACTCTCTACTCTATATTCTCCCACTAATCATAGACATGATAGCTTTCTCAAGGCTGCATGCCTTATCTCCAAAGTGTGTAAAAAATAAACTCAAAATATTAGGAAGACAGCTTAATGAATGAATAAGGATTCTGAACTGTGTGATAAATCTATGAATCCTAGTTGAGACCTTGGAAAGTTTACATAACACATTATTTGTTTTTCACTTTCTTCATCTGTAAGATTAGGATAATAATGTTAAATGTGAGAATAAAGTCAATAATGCATGTAAAGCAGTTAGAATACTGTTGGTGACCTAATTAGTGCCTGATAAATATTTTTATTTTGATTGGTGATAGCATTATATGAATGTGATAGGTGGAATGTAGTAATGCAGAGTGATATTTGAAATACTAGTTCCTCAATAGAAAGAGAGAAAACAAGCAAGCAAGCAAGGAGGTGGGAGGGAGGGAGGGAACAGAAGGTAGGAAAGAGAAAGAGAGAACAAAACGCAGGCACAAATGTGGTCACGTGCCCTCCTGGAATTTCACAATATTCATGATCATATTAAAGCCTTTGAGAAGTCCTTTAACTATGTTTCACCATTTCTTTCCAAAATTATTTGACTACAGAACACTGCTTTTTTTTTTCTCTTTTACCTAGTCTAACCTAAAGCTATTCACCTGTGCCATTTTGGAAACACCATGCTAATACACCTTTGGAGTCTGTATATTTGTTTTTATTTCGTTAACATACTTTTTTCTTATTACTGTTAACTTCAGTGTTGACAGTTTTATTTCTGAATATTTTCAGGTACAGAAATCAAAAAAGTAAAGAACCGAAGAAGGAATATCAGAAGGTAACCTCAGGGGATCCGGCATTGTCACAAGTCTGAATGGCGCCATCAAATTTATGGGCAGGGACGCACAGCATGCCTGGTTAATGTTAATATTTTTATTTTATTAATAATATTTATGTTGGGTCATGTGTTAGGTCAACAACAATGTATTTTTAATATAATTGGAAAATGTTTTTATTTTTATTTTTGACAGACTATTTGTTAATATATAATGTGCAGAAAATATTTAATATGAAAAGAAAATTGATATTTTTGTAAGAAATAGTTACTGAGCTAAATGCTTTATTGAAAGCTTCAAAACTTACATGCCTGCTGCAGTGCTTAGGAATGGACAATGCCCAGTTTGTTGCTCAGGATATGTCAGCAAATGACAGATTTCTGTAAGCCTAAATAAATAGTCAAATCAATTTAATAAATATATCTTGTTTTACTCATCAAATCAGTGATAATTAGCTTGACTACATCATGGTTTGATATATTAGTTGGCACCACTGTGTCATGTATTAAAACAGTAATGCAACTGGAATTTGGGAGAAACAAATATAGGTCATGTGCTAACCACCACACATTTGAAACAAACTAAGCCCAAAAAGGCTATGGTCTCTTCACCCCCATCTCAGCTACAACTTGATGTTCATCTGCTTGAAGGGGAAGTGAACGGTTTCCTATGCCAACCACAACTCCTACAGATACTAGTCACCAATCTAACATATTCTCTTCAAGTAAAATGAACTGAAAAACAATTTTATATCTTTATGTAAATAATAGGTATTTCACAGCCTCACAATGTTCTTTTTTTGTATAGTACAACATTTATGTCAGGTAATTGTTGCTCAATTAGAAAAAAATCCACACTTGAGGCCAAAATTTGTCCTTCTTTTTAGAGTATTTTTACAGTCTTTGCTGAAGAGTTCTAAAATTAAATTATCCCAAATTTAATGGACTAATCATTATTTTCAAATATAAGACAATAGTTCTATATATTGCCTAAAGATGGAAAAATAGTTATCTTCTACTCAAGAGAGTTTTAACCTAAAAACAGCTTAGTAAAGTAAGCTTCTTCTAGAATTGAAAGTTATATATTTAAAGTTATACCCTGACACATGAAGTAGAAAAAGTAGAAAAAATAAATCAGGATGTATTTTTCCAAATGAGAAACTCATTTGTAAGCTTTTAAAATTTAGAGACTTAGCCGTGCCTTCCTATGGAGGCTGAGATGAAACCAAGGCCCTTTTTCCCATCATCCACTTATTTTTTGGAAGAGACTAAGGTTTCTCCTGCACTCTGAGCCCATAGGTCTCAGTTGGTTAATAAGAGTATTTTGGGCAATTGCATAATGAGCCATGGCTGTCACCACCTTGGATTTCATGGGAGGCTGCCACATTGAATGCTAAACCTTTGGGTAGAGTCTCTCTGTATCACATACCAGGTCAGGGAGGTTCTATTCTTTCTCCACCTTTTTCTGGGCATGTGCTAGGGCAACAAAGAGATAATAAGCCAGGGATGACCTCTGGAGTACCAGGTGCCAGGGCTTGCCTCTGTGTCTATCCATGAATTATATACCCTGGTGCATTCGCAGGACTCTCATCTAAAGTCCTGGCCCTAGCCCTTACTATTAGGGGAAAAAAGAGACAAAATAAACAAAATAGACATATTCGTAAATGTTCATATACAAACACATGTATACATCAGCTCCATTGATCATAGAATCACAATTTGTTGTTCTATTAACCATTATATAAGACTTAAAAGCAAGATAAAGGGAAATAAAACAAAAATCAGTGAGATCTAAAAGGATATTTCTGTTTTACATTTAATATAGTTGAAGTCAAATGTGCTCCATAAGAACACATTTTAAATTCTATATACTTATTGACACCTATTGGTTATAAAGGAAGTCAGTGATCTTGACTATATCAAAGATGATTGGCTAACCAAGAATCAGCTGCAATCAATTATTTCATTTACAAAAGGTTCATTGTAAGGATCTCAATATTGGAATATTGGTTTATTTTAAGCATCTCAATTCATATTATATAACTAAATGTGAATAGTTTTGTGTACCTTTTATGTTTAAGAATGCTTAAAAAACTAACACCTGAAAAAGCTAAATTTTTATTTACAAATGCATATTAAATAATAAAGTATGAACCAGATTGCTTTTTATCGGCAAAAATATTTTAAAAATAATTGTTTAGAGAAGACGATGCTGAGCAAACATTAAAAATTGATTGTCATCAGCTCATGTTTCCTACAAACAATGGAAAGATTTTGGCTCACATTTAGCCCATCTTCCTCATCTTACAGATTTCTCACTATATAAATTTCTAGAAGGAGCTATGTATATCCAATGTATTGAGAATCAAAGCAATCCCAAATGCATAAATGCATAATTTATGGTCTCCCATCAAATCCACACAATAACCCAGTTGACACACTCTGTAACCAGGGACATTAAGTTCTATGATTGGTACTAAATTGAGATTTATATACTATGTTAAACATTTACAATGCAATATAACTGTACTATATTCTTAGACAATTTTTGCTCTCATTTCTCTGCTGAGAGTCAAAGCAATGGGAGAAATGGGGTAGTGATATGATTATGTCTTAACTCAAATTTTCATTTTAAGACCTTGAGAGCTAGCTAAATTCAACTGCCATCAGGTACCAATTTTTATGCAGCAAATATATGATACTAGTGTCTAATTTCTGTGAATTCAATACGGCATCTTTTTTTTTTTTTGTCTTTTTTCGTGACCGGCAACGGATTGCAACCCTCAGTGTTGTGCCCGTACCGGACCGGGACTGGCAATGGGATCGCAGTTGCGCCCGCACCTCGCTCAGCCAGCGAGCGGCCGGTCTGTATGTGGGATCCAAACCCGTCGCCGTGCTCCCAAGTGGTGCACTGTAGCAGTTCGCCACCGGGCCGGCCCCAATACGGCATCTTTTAAAAACTCATATTTGACCCACTTTGTCATTTCCACTCCAATATCCATTCTGTAGACTTTTGGGAAAAAATGTGTTTGATTTGCTGCCCAATATTTTCTGATTTTTTTCTACTCATATGGGAGAAAGGGGGGTACAACTTGTTATAAACAGTGTTTCTGGAGTACATTTTAATTTTTAACTAAAGAATAATTGTATCTAAAACATATCTGTTATTCAAATTTGATGATGTTAAATGTAATATAGTGTGTTTTTCTCCTTGCTTTGTTTGCACTCTGTAATTGCACTTTTTAAGTTTGAAGAGCCATTTTGGTATACAGTTTCTACTAAAGATGCTATGGAACATGAAGTTGTGTTGCATGCAGTTTAAAGTAATTTATTTGACTATGAATTTTATCAGAGTACTGAATTGTATCAATTTGTTTGTGTTCAATATCAGCTTTGATAATTGTGTACCTTAAGATATTGAAGGAAAATATAGATAATTTACAAAATATTGTTAATTTGTATTTATTTTTATTGGGAACTGGGAAAAAAATTGAAAAATAAAAATGCATTAAGCATCATGCATAAAAATCTGCACTGACAATACAGTCTTTCTTTTGCTATTTTTTTTTTTACACTACATTAAAAGGTCTAAAAGCAGTGACAGGCTTATAATGTATGTAGATATGAAGACATAATAGTTGTAATTTAAAAAAGCATTCTATAAATGTATCACATTTTATGGTCTACCATACTGAAAGATTTCTTGAAATAGAAGCATCGTTAATTATAGGTTTTAGTGCTAGAATATTTTTTAAAACAATATTTTAAAGAGTATTTAAAAACAGTATTTCTAAAAGGAATAGATACCCTACTAGGAAGTAGCTTTTGAAAGGACACATCTGCCAGAATGTGTCTCATGATTCCCTCAGCAACTGCCAAGAGTCTCGGCTTCCTTGGGCCTTCAGAGCAGAAGACTTTGGTCCCTCCAAACCTTCATCACAGTCATAGATGGCTTCCTTGGTGCATGGCTTCAATAACCTACAGAGTACTTTATCCATTTCTTAGCTCCCTGGATACTTCATTAACATGTGGATAAGGTAGGGAGCCATGGTTGTGACCATTCTACAGGAAGGTTGAGTAATTTGTCCTGGGTCACACTGGTGGCAGTAGGTGGAGCTGTCACAAGAAGCAAAGTCTTCTGATCCCAATTCCACTACAGCTCTGGCCATGTCAGAGGCAGCGGAACATTGTGTGGAGTTGGTCTCAGATCTAGTTTAGAGTTTTCCTGGGAGAAATAGGAATCCTTGTAAAATAGAATTCTTGGGATCTCACAGAACCATCAGACTGACTCAGTTCAAAGTCTGAGAACCCAGAGGGTTAAGGAAAAGAGCTCCTAGAAACACTTTTTCTCTTGGTTTCCAGGATATCAATTCACCTGGTATTTTACCTACTTCACCCTATCCCTGGTCATGGACCTGTAAACACTAGTGCCCCAGAACTCAGTCCTGGAAATTTTCTCTCCATTTAGCCATTCCATACTTCATCGCATACAGTCTCATGTCTTTAATTGCCACCTATATACTGATTACTCCCAGCATAGATATTTTCTCTGAATGCCATAAACTTTTTACAAAGATGGCAGACACAATCGGTCATTTTGAAGAGAGTATGCAGGGAAAAAAATTCCAAGAAACCAGAGTTAGAATATCACAATTTATAAAAGGATAAAATTAGACAATGAATTTAACTTTAATCAATTCTAGAACATATTTCTCCCCAACGGTCACAAAACATTATAAAACATAAGTGCTGATCATTAGATTCTTGTATAGATTAAGAAAGAGACATAGAATAATGGATCTCTTTTAAATATTGTCAGGTCTCCAGCTAATGGTAACTACCCATCATATAAAACCAAACACAGATATTCCATTCAGTTTATCTGTATTTCAGAGAAATATTTGGGAAAAGACTTCCATATATTTCATATGAGCCTGCAATGCAATATACCTATTAATAAAATAAGTGCAGCTTAGGCTTATTTAATGGTATGAGTGGATCTATTACATATGAAACAAATGTAGCACATGTGACTGGATGATACAGAACTTTAGAAAAGGGCTTGGTTATAGTCTTGGAGGATACAGAAAATGTATGTAAAAATACAATTACTGGAATGGTGATCTTTCCAATCAATCTGTCAGAAAGGATCAATGCCTTTCTATTATTCTCTCAGTATTGTTCCTTCTTCTGGGGATGGCAAGATTCATACCAAGGAAATACATATTCCTGACTTTTAAGTTACTATCAGGAGCAATTCACATTCTCAAAAAAAAAAAAAAAAAAAAAAAAAAAAAAACCCATTCT